TTTTATTTTCACCTGGGTTTAAATCCCGCATGCCTCGCTTCTTTTCTTTTTTGTTTCTAAAGCTTAAGATTCCCACACCGGTGGAAACAGAGAATTTATCACTCCTTCGTTCCTATATACATGCTCCTCCTTTGCATATGAGGAATACACGAAGTGATGAACCAGGCTTGCTTCAAAGCCTTGCCCTAGTCCACCTAAGTAATAATACTCCCTCCGTCTCGCTAACATTGGGACAAAAGGGTGTGACACACAAATTAATAAAAAGTTGTTTATGTGGTTGATATTGAATTGGTAAAGTAAGAAAAAAGTAAGAATGATTTAGAGCCACACAAACTTTACCAAGTTTGGTATGAGACAATATTAATGAGATGAACCGATAAGGTAAAATGGGACAATCATAGTGGGACGGAGGTAGTAGAGTATACTACTACAAAAAAAAATTGGGCCCTTCCAATTTTTTGGGCCATGTGCGGTTGGACACCCTGCACACCACCAGGGCCGGCCCTGCGTGGAGGTGCGTAAAGCAATTTTAATTTTAATTAATAATTAAGAAGGCCAAATTTGTCATGCCATGGTTACCTAAATCAATTCTGGGTGCACAAAACAACATTTAATGAAATAAAAAAAATACTACGTATGTATGTTTTCTAATAGTAGTCAAGAGTCATATATGAAAAAATTATTATGTTTTCTAATAGTAGTCAAGAGTCATATATGAAAAAATACGTATGTTTTCTAATACGTATGTTCACAAGACTTGACTAGATTTTTTTTTAAAAGTTACATATATAATATTGGTGTCACATGAAAGATCGTAAAAAGATATATAATTTGGTATATAATTTTTATAAAAATTGGAGCAAAAATGAAAAAGTTATGACATTTTATAAAAAAAGGAATTACTTGTCACATGACAACATTTTAATGGATGTTTATTTAATGTAAAATTGAGTTGTGGAGCGTGAAGCAACCCCAAAAAAATAGGCCAAAACGACTTAAGGGGAATTCAAACTTGGTACCTCCCACAACATAGAAACTTTCAATCCCACGCGTGCTCCCGTTCCTCTGCTTTATTCTTTTGGTTCTAAGGTCGTGGTCCCGGGACCCGTGGGACCCTTAGTGGGTACGCCTCTGAATGCAGGTAATAATGACACAAATTAATAATTTTGCCGACATGTTTGCCTAATGATGACACAAATTAATAATTTTGTAACTCTTCCAAGCAATTATTCAAGCACTAGATATACTTTATATATATGATGTTCTTTATAATTACAAATTAACTACGTACTTTATGTTTACACCCTCCCATCAATATTATATTACTGACTTATTTTTGTTCATGCAAAAAAGAGAGCTCTTTGAAGATAACGTACAATTGAATCAGAACATAAATCACGCATGGTTGAATTTTGTGTATATGAAACATGCAGAAATAATAAGATGTTCATAACTATAAATTCATAAGGTTGTTTTTACCTGGACGGTAATTCGTCTCAGACTAGACCAGACTAGACCAGACCAAACCAGATTAGACCAGACCATATTTTATTATTATTATTATTATTATTATTATTATTATTATTATTATTATTATTATTATTATTATTATTATTATTATTATTATTATTATTATTATTATTATTATTATTATTATTATTATTATTATTATTATTATTATTATTATTATTATTATTATTATTATTATTATTATTATTATTATTATTATTATTATTATTATTATTATTATTATTATTATTATTATTATTATTATTATTATTATTATTATTATTATTATTATTATTATTATAACTATTATTATTATTATTATTATTATTATTATTATTATTATTATTATTATTATTATTATTATTATTATTATTATTATTATTATTATTATTATTATTATTATTATTATTATTATTATTATTATTATTATTATTATTATTATTATTATTATTATTATTATTATTATTATTATTATTATTATTATTATTATTATTATTATTATTATTATTATTATTATTATTATTATTATTATTATTATTATTATTATTATTATTATTATTATTATTATTATTATTATTATTATTATTATTATTATTATTATTATTATTATTATTATTATTATTATTATTATTATTATTATTATTATTATTATTATTATTATTATTATTATTATTATTATTATTATTATTATTATTATTATTATTATTATTATTATTATTATTATTATTATTATTATTATTATTATTATTATTATTATTATTATTATTATTATTATTATTATTATTATTATTATTATTATTATTATTATTATTATTATTATTATTATTATTATTATTATTATTATTATTATTATTATTATTATTATTATTATTATTATTATTATTATTATTATTATTATTATTATTATTATTATTATTATTATTATTATTATTATTATTATTATTATTATTATTATTATTATTATTATTATTATTAATATTATTATTATTATTATTATTATTATTATTATTATTATTATTATTATTATTGTTGTTATTATTATTATAATTATTATTTTCATTGTTATGTTATTATTATTTGTAATTATAAATGAATAAAATATAATTATTTATGGATTATAATATATATAAAATAAAATCTTTATGCAAAAAATATAAAAAATAAAATTTCAGACCAGACCAGACCAGACCAAAACAGACCAAACCAGACCAGATCAGACCAAAACAGACCAGACCAGTCCAAACCAGCAAATTACAGTCCAAGTAAAAACATCCTAAAAGGGATCCGAATGTGGTAAACAAAGATATAAGGGACGCCACACGCATGTAGTATGGAGAGTTTCTTTGAAGACAAATTCTATTGTACCATCAAGATACCATACTTTGACTGCGTTGATCGATTAGAATATTGCGCGCATTTCAATATTTATAAAAATTCAAGCATCCCTTTTCATTAACATATGCAATATACTTCAAAGTTTTGTTCTTTGAATCTTCAAATCTTCGTTCATTGAATCTTCAAATATTCTTGAATTAAGAATTCAACTTGAAGGGCCTCCGGTTTTCAAGTGGCTTGATCTTCAACAAAAGGGCCGTTTTATGTCTTGATCTCCTGTTTAAGGGCCTCCCAGGATATATGGTTTGATCTTCAATTGAATCTTGATTCAATCTTTGTATGAATATCTTCAAATCTTCAAAGATTCGTTCTTCATATCTTCGAATCTTCAAAGCATTGTTCTTTAGATCTTCGAATCTTCGAGCTTCGTTCTTCAGATCTTCGAACGTTCTTCAATTTTAGGATTTATTTTATCAAGAATCGACGAAATCATGGAGGATTATTCGTATATTATTAATAAAATTCGTGGCTTGATCTATTCCTCTTCTTCGGAATCGTTCAGAGCTTTTCGGGAGTTCTTGAGAGCTTTTCTGCAACGTTTCTTCATCTAGAAGTTCTCTTCATATTCCACTTAACTGAGACCCCTATTTATAGGTGTGGAGGGGGTGAGATGTGTTTTAGGGCTCCAAAATTCGTCCATACCTTATGGGCCATAATTGAAATGAGTTTTGGGCTCCATTTGCTTGCATTTTAATAGCTAGAAAAATCAGTACTTATTCAATGTATTTGGACAACTTTTTTAGCAAGGTTCATGGCTATTTTCCACACATATGGAAGGATTTTTTAGCCAGATTCGTTGTCCTCTTTATCAATTGAATCATGTTTGTTATATATTGGGCCGCTACTTGATAATGAGCTCAAAAATAGTGGAATTATTAATAGGATCGGTCCATTCTTTTAAAGATTTAATTTATAACTAAATCAATTGGGTATATTTTTTAATGACTCAAATTAGATCAATTATTAAATTTTATCTGAATGAGTCCATATTAATATTTTTATAAGGCCCAACAACCATCACGATGAGCCCAACAAAATTGAACATTGACCCAATAATTTTTATGTCCACGGACGCTAAATAGAATATTTTGATTTTATTTATTTTTCTTTATCCTTTTACACAAAAAAAATTATTCCCTTACTCAATTTTTTTTCAACCAAAACTAACCTCATCCATCCATACTCCACCAAATTTTAACAAATATCAGGACAAATGACAAAAAAAATCCCCTAATAAGAGGTGGTGGCTTCAGAAAAATACCTATGAAGGGCAAAATCTCATGCTCTTTAACTTTATACAGTTCAACTCATATATCCTAGAAGACGAAAAAATTTCAGTTCATATCTAATCTAATGTAAACTCAATGATGTGGATAGCATATACTTTACATGATTTGTAATTTATTACGAAGTATATTATATTTATTTTATCCTAAATAAATTCAAAACACCTGACTGAACTCAGCCGAAGAAGTAAAGATTGGACTACTTTATTTTCTCAGCTGATAAATATAACTATTCGTGTTTAGAGTTTAGACCATTTGTTATGAACTCCTTATAACATGATTTGTTGCTCGGTTTAGAAACCAAAAAGTAAACAGAGTTATTTTGAACTCTTCATTGAACTCCTCATGATCAGGAACATAAACAATATTTTGACCATTTATTATGAATTCCTGCGATATGTAACGTGCTTTATGTGCCCAAGTCCCAACCTCTAAACCTGCCATCGATATTGAGTTATTGTTGTTCATCCATATAAATGAGTTCTTGATGACCTGAAAAATATGCTTCTTTGAGTTATAATATAAGATTGAATTCAAAGAGACGTGATGTGTTTATTATACATGATCTGATGAACATATAAAAACAAGACTTATGGAAAGGTTAGGAAAGCCAAAATACAACCATTAAAATAATTAGGATACTTTGACTAAACTTTACCTAAGTCGCTAAGTGGTATTTTCTCAAATTCAAAGCACACATCGAAACTTTTCCTCAACCTTTCACTACTCAATTCAATTCTCCGTATATTTGTTCTTTGATGGCCATGGAAAGTAATGGCATAGCTTTTATGTTTGGGACAGAAAACAGGCCGGGGTAATAATAACATTATTATTATTTTAGCATTAAATCAACAAAAGTAAGAAAGATAAACTTATTTGGAGAAAACCCGCCCAAAAGGAAAGTGTGAAACTCTCTTGTAGGGCTAAAGGAATCTAATTTTGGTATGAATTTACATTACACAGATTTGTTATGGCACTATAGTTCATTAACTAATCACAAAACTACCCTATAACGCAAAAGGCTAGGGATATCAGCTCATTGGATAGCAGAAAACCATCGGGGTCACATAAACGAATGAACGAAACCACGTCTTTGGTCTTGCACCTATCCAAGCTACAGAGTTGATCCACTGTAATAGCTCTCCTCTGCTGATCCAAGAAAAGTACATGGCCAGTTTCCACATATGGTTCATAAACTTCTAAGAGGGAGACCACAAGCGAGGTACCAAAAGCTTCACCCAAGGACTTCAAATTCAAACCTCTAGCAGTTCGAAGAGAGAGCATAACGACATCCTTCTCCATGTCATGTGCATCCACACAATCATTCTTCCAAAAGCAACTCTCTGATCTGTCCTCTAAACTTTTGACGTATCCCGTGTAGTCCTTGAGTTTTCTAGGCCTAGAAAACCTTAATCCGTTAAGGAAACTGGCTGCCCCAAGTCCGAAACCATAGAAAGGTTTGTTTTCCCAATATGTGGAGTTGTGCTTGCAATGGTAACCCGTCTTGCAGTAGCTACTGATCTCATAATGGTCAAATCCTGCTCCTGATAGCATTTTTGAAGCCATTCTGTAAAACTCAGCAGATTGATTCTCAGAAGGCAATGGGTACTCTCCTGGAGTATACCTGCAAAAGAGTCAAAAACAAAAAATGTCAAAAAAAGAGTCAAAAAATGTCATATAATCGATATGATCCATTCTATGTTAGCTGTCATTTTAAGTGTTTCCATACATGAAACCGAGCATTAATTTTTTCTAAGGTTGAGATTAAAATATTATAATATGGCGTGAATTCCCCTATGAATATTTTAAAAGTACAATGTACTCCTGTCGCCCTATTTAATCTTCTTGCTTCAGTTTATGATGTTTCATCATCATCATCATCATTTACCCCAGTGCCGCAAAGGCTCCCACCTACGGTGGGGTAAGAGGGGTCGGATGTACGCAGTCTTACCCCTGCCCTAAAGCACAGAGAGACTGTTTGCGGATGACCCATAGTGAAAATCGCGTCCAAAATTGCATGGACTGAATGTTGCTTCATAACAAAGAAGCGCAGACAGTTTAGTGAGCCATTTTGCTTTGTTCCATCATATTCTCAAGCCAAAAAATAGTGAATCTTTGGCTCCATTGCAAATGATGCAAAACAGTTTATGATGTTTGAGTAGTGAAAAACTTATGTCCTTGACAATACATAAATGAGTGTATACTTAAACTTCACATGTTTTGAAACAATGCAAGAAATTCTATTGAACCGCAAACACTGAATTCAACTATGATAAATTTTGAAAAATAAAATTTTTGTCTATAAAGGAAGAGTTTTTGAACAGAGAACATAGTATATAGTTTGAATAGAGTTTCTTAAGACTCAAGATTAAACATGATATACCATTTCCATAAATGGATTGCAGCTATTTAACAAATGTAGATTTTCCAAGGTGGAAGAATCTTTTGAACATATAGAACAACATAATCAAGTTCAGGTTAAGGAGAGGCAGTTCCTGAAAGCAAAAAAATCTGGTGAATATTAAAGGAACATGGATTACTCTTTGACAGCAGGTAAGTCGCAAAATTTGTAAGCATTCTTTGGGTGAAAAAGTGATTCCTACGTTTTGTGATGTCTTTAATCCCAAAAAATGTGGTCAAATTCTTTTAAAAAAGTGTTAGATTAGACTACCATATTGTATGGATTCCAACTTATAGCCTGATTTGATTCAGGTTCATTATGACCTCGTTAGTAACCCTAACTCGATCAAAAAAGAAAAAGGAATGCCTCCTAGCTAAGCCTTATCAAGTTGGATGGAGATGAAACTCACAAGATACCAAATTTGGTTCCTTGTTCAACTTGCAAATCATACACGGAAACGTGCGTAGGCTGCACATCAATGGCACGTCTCAAGCTTTCTTCCCACATCTCTGGTGTTTGACCAGGAAGAGAAGCTATGAGATCAATACTCCAATTCTCAACACTACACTGCCCAACAATAATCTCTATAGCCTCATCAACCTCCTTCAACCCGTGAGCTCTCCCACAACGTTTCAGCATCTCCTCCTGAAATGCCTGAACTCCCAGAGACACTCTGTTCACACCCAACTCCATCATCCCTTTCAGTTTCCCCACATCGAATGTCCCCGGATCCATCTCCATTGATATCTCTGCACCAAAACTCACACCGAATTTCGAATCCAAAGCATCCAATATTAAGGAAACCAGCCGGGGAGGCACAAGAGAAGGTGTGCCACCACCAAAAAAGATGGTTTCCAGAGCTGGTTGGTTGGTGCTTGAGTGGAGGAGTGTGGTGTCCTTGATTTCTCTGCAAATGAGGCTGACGTAGTCTGCAATTCGAGGGTCATTGTCTGGTTGGGAGGAGACACCGAGGGCTAGGATGGGGAAGTCGCAGTAGTGGCAGCGTTTCCGGCAGAATGGGAGGTGAACGTAAGCTGAGGTTGGGGGAAGCTTATGCGAGGTTAGATAGTTGTTTGGGGCATTTAGTCGAACAGTTTCCGGGCGTTTTGTTACCGCATGCTGAATTGTCCTAACCAGCTTGGTTTTGGAGGGGAAAGTTGCAAATATGGGAGAAAGAGCTGATCTTAGCATCTTTATAAACACTCCTATAAAATGCTCAGTTTTTATTGTTTCTTTATTTCTGTAAATAAACTACAATCAACCTTTTCAAATCACCCATTTTATGGACGAACCCACAATTACCCACCTATGCAAAAATGTTTAGTTAATACTATGGCAGCCTGAATCCAACCCAAAATGCATACACTTTGGTATGATCTTGAAAAATAATTATGAACCAGAGCATATACACAACAGCTACACAAGTACGACGAGTGAGTGAGTGACCCAATTGATAGCCTCTCAACTCAATCTCGGTTCAAAGATCTGGAGCGGATTTTTGATAAACAGGGGAAAGTTGAATGAAACAAGTAACTACTCCTTATCTATATGACTATATCTATATAATAAAACAAATCCTTAGAATTATTTGAATGAATTATCGACATTTGGCAACATTCTGAAAAAATTACGAGCTCGTTTGGTGATCCTTTTTTTCGCCTTATCAGATTTATTAGTCAACTTTTTCACCAAACACGTAACTTTTGATTTCGTGCGTTGAAGTTTTTAATAAGCAGAATAAGTAAGATTGAAGTTACTTTTCTGGCTGTATTGACTGAAGTTACTGTAGAAGATCATTTTAGCCATTTTTCATATATTTTTTTATTTAATTTATTAATAAAAAATATTTTAAATATTTTTTTCATGAATCAACAGAATCAGCTAATACAGCCACTTCAGTCAGAACTTCATAAATTTCAGCAGAATCAGCCAATTCAGCCAATTTTAGTGTTACCAGACGGGCTCTACATGTGGCAATACAATTAATTAAAGAAAAAGCTATTCAATTTTCAAAACTACTCTTATAGTCTTATGTATTCCAATATTACATACTCCACGTATATATTTATTTTTTTGAATGAAATGTAAGTATATATTAAAAATCATCCAAAGAGTATATGTACATAAAAAAGTTTGCCACAACTTTAGGCCATCCAAAGATTGGATTACCCACCACCTCAAAAATCTATCTAGTTGCTAAAGGCTACGGTCAACACACAAAATATAGGTGATGAGCCGCAAAAACCAATAATTTCATCAAAAAACCACCCAATCATGTGGATATACTATGTACTTTGTCCTTGCAACCACGTCCCCCACCTTAGGAGTTAGGCCATCAAAACATGTAGCATTGTCTATCCTCCATATAGCAAAAGGTCACCCTCACGACTTTAGCTTTGATTCTAGCTCCTCCACTTTCCTTCTTGATCCATTTGACCAAGCTAGCAAGTGTGCGCGTCTCCCTTGGGATACCCATCCAATGCTTGATCATTTTTCAAACTTTAACGGAAAATGAACATTCAAAGTATAGGTGTGGAACCGTTTCCGGTCCACCCTTACAAAATGGGCATACGTTAACTACATCCAATCAAGTAATAAAGAAAACTTGGGATGGATATAGTTCTTCCAAATAAAGGTCATCCAATGCCGTGTTGGCCCCTTTGTTCTCAAAAGATTGTAAATCTTATGAGAAGAACATTTATCATTCTTTTGAAACTTTTGTAAACCATGGATAACGTGTGGGATATCATCAAATTTTGATAGTAGTTCATCTCGAATTAATGCAATCTTTTTCGTCAATTGTGAGTCTCTATTGTGTGGAGAAAACTCCTACACACTCCTACTATTATGATAAACCCCATGCACCCATCTCACTCAAAGTGTGTCCTTTTTAGTATGGATATCCCAAATGATTTTTGAGAGCAATGCCGAATTCCAACCCTTGTATCATGTATACCAAGTCCACCTTCTTCTTTTGGAAGACATATATTTTCCCAGGAAATCCTAGAAAATTTACAAATCCAAAGGACGATACGGCAAATAGATGTGATTATGTCCAAAACAGATTTGGGTATAGGAAAAGCTTGGAGCCAAAAAGAGTGGTCTCCTTATATCACAGATTTTATCAATTTAACCTTACCTACATAAGAAAGTGTTCTAGTATTCCAAGCATTAATAAAGTCAGTCATAGAATCTAATAAGGGAGCATATTGTGCAACTGATATCCTAAGAGAGGCTAAAGGGATACCAAGAAAATTAACCGAGAATGCTCCAACCTTGAAGTCAACCAAGTCAACCTTGAACGCTCCAAAACCATCATTAATTCAATCATTTGAATTTCATTTTAGAAGTCCTAAATGTAATAAACTTGCGATGTAAAGTTTGTAAATCTCTCTTGCCAACTGCTGCTTGCCGCTAGTTGCTCGTTGTCTCAAATAACAAGAATCCTAGACTGAAATTTAAGAGGAAGCAGGGGCGGACCGTAGTAGAGACCCAGGGGGGCTACCGCCCCCCAATAATTTTTTTTTAGTGTATATATATACGAAAAATGATTTTTGTTCTTTCAAAAAGTATTTTGAACCCCCAAAAAATATTTTCGCCCCCCCAAATGACTTTCCTGGATTCGCCCCTGAGAGGAAGATTATAGATATCCTTACATAATTGAAGGTCAACAATATAATAAGTGTATAAGTAAACGCAATTAAAGGATCTTTACCATAAATAATAATATGCATAAACTTACCTGATAGAACTTGATAAGAGTTTAATCGGATGAAATTAATAACCCAGGCCACTACTATAATACCTGAATTGTAAATATGTTCTTTATAGAACTGACATGCAAAACAGGGACTAATATACAATTCCCATCTCCATTAGTTTCTATTTGTTACTGGCGTGAAGGATCCATCGGGGCAGTCTTTCTCGACTGCCGATATACCTGTAACAATAGAAAAATTATGGGAAACAGAGAGGTCATCAGATGGAGCATCATTACAGGACAAGTTTGAGGTAACTGTAGTATCAACTTCGGCTTCAACTTCGGGTGGATCAGAATTGATGTTGTGTGTTTTCAGTGAGCAATAGTAGCATCAATCAAGTGAGCATCAATGAGAATCAAAAGCAGATGAACTTCACCAACGGTTACTGCCTTGTTAGAGGTAGCCACTGAGGGGTCATCCAAGCCTACCGTAGTATCCAAACGGGTCATTGTGCCATTACTGGCTCCTAAACCAGCATCAAAAGGGTCTGGGACAGAATTTTCCTCATGGACATTTTCAAGACCGGTATCAAGTGCAACACTAAACTACTTCAAAAGAACTGAGACAGAATTTCCAACTCGGACAGTTTCATATTTGAGTTTACAACAATATGCTTCATATATAAAATCAAATAGACAATATGCTTCACGTAGAACCCATCGTCTTGCAAGCCTTTTATACATCCATGATCTATCGTGGCTCTGATCTATAGAAACATATAAAAGATATAATACAAAATAATGTTATTATTCATATCATTATTTTTTTTTTGACGGAATCTCAATAAATACTTAAAGAACTATCTCATTTTATTCATAAACATCTAATTATTGTATTTAAAGGATAAATGAAACATTCACACTTTTATTTATCTTTCTCAACTAATAAATTTCAAACTTTATTTATATTTATTACTTTAATTACTCGAACTAGGGCATCAAATCTGTAATTTTTAAAAACAAACAGCATATAATACATACACAGTTTCATATTATAAAAATAGTCAAAGAATTTGATTGTTTCTTCATACTCACCATCTTAACCTAACATTAAAATTAAAGTTCTTAAAATTTTATCACACCTAATGTTATATAAAAACATAAATCGACAACTAAAATAATATCAATGTTTTTATATCATTAAAGAATGAGCCATTTTTTTCATACATAACCTAAAATCTATGTTAGAATAACCAAAACGACTAGTAATAATTAATTAATCATTACAAAGGGATGATAAAAGACACTTTTCTTCAAATAAAACGACTAAGAACTCAATATTTTTGTATATATAAGAAAAAACGTCAAATCATATTTTTAGTTTAAATATTTAAGAATAACATCGTATTATATATAGTCAATTAATTAATATAAGAAAATTATAAACAGTAATTAAAAGTATGAGTTCTAACCTTGAAATGTCATCCAGATCTATTTTGATGGAGAGATAAGGATAAGATAAGTGTGTGGAATGATGTGCCGCTACTATCTGCGGTACATAAAGTTATAATATATTTACGGAATTTATTGGCGGAAATAGCCGTAACGGACATTAATTACTATCCAACACAAAAATCGGATACTAATTTCCATATTTCTTGTAGTGGAAGCCTTTAGGAGCTACCTTGTGTCATATTACTACATGCAACATCATTTACTTTTAGAATTGTCACGGATTTTGTCACAAAATATTCTGCAACACAATTTAAAACATGGTAAATTAAACCCGCTTTTGTCAGGTCTTTCTTTTGTGACAAACCTGACAGATTAAATTTTTTCAAGAATTCTATTCGTGGAAAATTCGAGCGGTATAAAATGTCAAGGGATGTTGTCATGGATGTATTCTGTGAAAACATTTCAGCTCACAAATTTTTGCATTGATTCCAAACATGCCGATTAGCGAGCTTATTTGATAGTAATCAAGTATTTTATTTTGATCGTATCCTCATACTTTTATCTTTGCATCATAGATTATGACCTTATTTGATAGTAATCAAGTATTTAATTTTGAGATGATAAACATGAATTTAATCATTTATGTAACAATATTATGTAGAGAAGATACTTTTAGGAAAAAAAACATTTGAGCTTGTGAACAGGCGACAGCTATCAAGATCAAATAAAATGCGGAGTATTTCTTGCTTTCCTATGTTTTCTTGTAAAGTGAATTCCAAGAAGTCAATGGGATTATAAATTACACTTTCTTGACTTCCGGTGTGAACTACCAATGCAAACACGTAATATATGACGCAGGTAAAAATATACTCCCTCAGTCTCGTTGGAATGTTCCCGGACCTACACACATATTAAGGAAATAAACCTACCAAGGGGTAAATTTTATTGTTTTGACACTGTTTCGACATTGTTTGGCATTGTTTGACACTGTTTTGCACGTTTTGACCCTGTTTTGATGTAGGATAACTTTCCATTTAGAGAAATGAGAACTTTCCAACGGGACATCCAAAAAAGGAAAGCAGGAACATTCCAACGGGACGGAGGGAGTAATTATTAAAACAAACCTATGATGCGTTATTACTTCTGATAAAAAATTATCAAACATAAATTATTAGAATAAATTTGTCTGTGATACCAATACAAAAGCAAAGTTGTATGTGACACCAATAAAAATAAATTTATCAAACAATTATTTTCCAATTTTTGTTTGTCACGGATAATTCATCTTAAACTAAAAAAATTATTTATGGTCGGCCCAGCATGTATAAGAGGACTTTTTCTGTATAAAATCATAGCTAGAGAGTTATTGTATCAAAATGAGAAAAACCA